CAGGGTTACGATCATCATCGCTGGCGTGGCAGCTTTGGTCGCTACATTACTATCTCTGGTGTATGTCCAGCATCTTTCACATTTCTTGCTTTTCTCTCCTAGTACATACATATCGCTAACTTAAATTACCCTCAGGTCGATATGGCTTCAAATGTGAGCATTACCCTTTCGCGCCTGACACCCTGCGTATTTCTATGTCGACATATTATAACACGTGCCGTGTAGGAAAAATTATTGGAAGCCACTGCTTCAGCGATATGCCGTGAGGATACTTTTAATGTCTGTTCCCATTTCTCAAAGATTTAAATTTCCGTACTGACTACCTGTAGGGTTCCCATATATTCGGTATCGTCTTGGGTGAGCATAATTTCGTTGACCGCACCTGCTTTCGTAGTTCCGATCCGCGATATATATGAGGTACGACTCTTGCGAAGCTCCCAGAAGACTTCCGAAGACATTATTAACATTGACATAAGGCATTTACGATATATACATTTTTTCAACTCCTTATCAATTGTCTTGGTGGAGAACGTGCTCTCATAGTGATGACACACGGGCGTGCACCAGTGCAGCATGCTTGGCCTCTCAATCACTGTCTTGCGAAAGTCGATATTTCGGATCCCCATACCTTCCTTACGATGAAACGTGGTATTCTCCAATACGCGTGGCTAAAACCTATTCTTGCTTTAGCATCTATCATAATGAAGGCTACTGGAACATACCAAGAAGGCTATCTTGGAATTTCTTCAGGTTATCTGTGGATAGGAATTATATTCAATCTTAGCGTTACAATCAGTCTTTACTCATTGGCAATGTTTTGGGTGTGTATGCACGATGACCTAAAACCATTTCGTCCGGTTCCTAAATTTCTTTGCGTCAAACTCATTATCTTTGCCTCCTATTGGCAAGGATTCTTCCTCTCGATCCTACAATGGCTTGGAGCCTTACCAAACGGGGTTGCAGGATACACCTCCAACAACCTTGCTGCAGCAATCCAGGACAGCTTGATCTGTTTCGAGATGCCCATCTTTGCTCTCACCCACTGGTATGCCTTCTCCTGGCATGATTATGCCGATCCATCTGTGTCCGCCGCACGGATGCCTGTCAAATACGCCATTCGGGATGCTTTTGGAATCCGAGATCTTATCGAAGATACCAAAGAGACCTTCCGCGGAGAAAAATATCAATATAGGCAATTTGACTCCGGTGACAATGTAATGGCGCATGAGGAATCCGACTCTCGCTTAGCCAGAGTGATGGCTGGTATGAGATATGAAAGGGGCGGGAAGGCTAAATATTGGATCCCCAAACCCGGAGGAGCAACCAGCCGGACGCCGCTCTTAGGTTCGGTTAGCCGGAGGGGTTCTCAGAGGAGATTTGCAAGAGGTAGTGCAAGTGATGGAAGTTGTGCTAGCGATGATTCTGAGACAATTACACTCGATGAAGAAGACGAAAGGCTCTTCGAAAATGCGAGGGCTTTGGAGTTTGGGGATTATAACGTAAGAAGGCACATATGCAAGCATTGTCTTCCAAATTAACTAACCTCTACATTAGTATCCTGTGATAACAGCAAATGAAGTGCCACCCGAACTTCGACTACAGAGGCGGCCGAGGCTCTCTGTATCAACCCCTCATCGAAGAAACAGATATATTCATGCCAATAACGAAGCAACAGAGAGTTCATCAAGCCGAAGATCGAATCGCAGATCGAAACGACCAGATGCTAATGGAATCAAGCAACATCGCAGCTCTAGTTTCTCCACCCAATCCCGTTTGAGACAAAACCAACTGCTTGATGTCGTGGATGATGTTGGAGTAGCTGAACAGGAGCGGGAGGATGCATGTGAACAATGTGAACAAGGGCAGGGAAACATAGCTGATGAATCGTGTTTAGTGTGAGTTTCTACCCTAGCAAAGAAAACTTACATATATATCTATTCAACCAGTATTCCATGAAAGCTGCTAATAGTGTTCTTCTTGAAGTGGCCACTCGGTAAATACAAGTAACCGACTAGAAAGCAACGAAGGCAGGAGCGTCATCGAACATCCTATGGAACAAGGCAGCTCGGCCGACGGGGATAACAAGGCAGATGCTGACAGCACAGGAAGAAAGATGGCATACGGGTCATTCAATGAGGAACGCGATGCTTGGAGTAGATGATTTGAACGTTAGCAAACATGGTGTGTGTGTGTGTGTGAAACAATGATCATGTTTTTTTGTTTACGATATCTTTCTTCGATCAAGTCATTTTTTGTTTTCTTTAGGACATATCTCCCTGTCTACCCTTTTGGCATGGCGTTTTACGGAATGCGCATGGATCAGGCTCTTATTTCTCCCTAGCCAAATTTGGTAGCGGGCAATTATTTAATCTTTTTGGTTCCAGACTTCAGGCAAATTATTGTGGATAGGATTTATCTTCCTCACTTTTTTTCCTTTTTGGTTGATTAATGGACGTTTCGCCCTTGATGGGTGGGACACCGCTGATGTTTCTTGGAGAGAGAAAAATAAAATACCTGTTCATTTATTGAAAATTGGAAATAAACTAGAGGTCCATTCAATACTTTTTGGTTAAGGGATGATTGAGCGATCTATCTGCAGTCACATAAATATTGCTGACGTCCATGACAACCTAAGGGCTAACATGGGGGCGGTCCCTTTTGACATTTATTTCATTTACTTGGCCTTGGGTTCACAACTCACGAACAGAGGAGACGATAACAAAGGGGGGGAAAGGGAGAAAGGAAACAGAAATACATACCAATGATAAGCTGAAATAGAGCCTCTGTCCTTCATTTATTTCCAGTTTTTCAACCAGTCGGAGTCTCACTGATGCTTTAAGTTTCAGATCCTCTGGTCCCGGATGACATACATAACGTTGAGGCTCCTGTGGTTGTTCATGACATTCTCAGCAACCACTCGGCCCTCAGGGGTGCACGACTGTTTTATTTTTGTCCCCGTCAGCAAGTAAGAACTTAAAAAAAATCATAGAAGGACGAAGACAAGATGAAAGAGGAAAAAGTTGCCAATTTCAAGAACAGCAAAGGGAACAAGGCAAAATCACATACCCCGACCGTGAAATCTTGCGCCAACCTCTTGCCATGTTCGCCCGGCTTATTTGCATAGCACTAAACGACATGGACGACACCTTCATGTGCGGGAAGAATAGTCTTTCCAGCCACGATGGCAGGTGGCTAGCAATTGCTCTCCGGAATCTCTGGGTACGGTGTCTCCGTAAAGCATATGATGTTATTGGGGTCATTGGGGCAGAAGTTAGGGGTCGATCTCAGCTGCTGCGTATGCTTCGGTCGAAATGCATGTTCCCATCTGCTAGTAAACTTAGAACTTCTTTGCGGCCACGATGCTGGCGGAGAAGGGAAGAAGAGCAAGTGCGAGAAAGCCCATTGTGAATACCTTAAGGCGTTTGAATTATATATAGAAGTAGGCAATTGGTTCAAATGATGTGCAAATAAATATCCATATTTTGGTACCGGCGATGGGAGCTTTAAAGATATCCACCCAAGACCACAGGCAAGGGCCTTAAATATCCTGGAACAACCTCTCAAACTGGGGATAAGGATAGGGAAACAAGCCCGGCCGTTCGCCTCCACCTTCTCAATCTCTCGCTGCTGCAGCAGAGATGAAGGGGTTATCAATACTGTAACCATGAGGAGTAGTGGTGGGGAAATGAGTCTACCAAGGCGCAAAACGGTTTTCGTAACATCTCGTCAACCATCCACGGATGCAATGGACACAGCACCCGTGAACGTCCTGGTGATACTGAGTTCAAAAGGAGGGAGAGATGCATTTATCAACATCATAGGTGCGTTTCAACTTTCCTGGAAATTCTGTTTAGTTTCCCTGGTGGATTCGCATGAATGGGTTCGATGCCCCGCCGACCAGTTAGTTCATTGAAAACGGAACCGAACACGGCGGAGACGGGCAACTCTAATACCAACGCGAGATTTTGATAATCGCATGAACAGAAAAGTTATTTCCCTGTGAAGATTTCCCTGCTGAGACCCAAACGATCTTAGGCTTTCAGCCAGTCAGGTTGTGTAGAAGAAAAACGTTGTCAATAAAATCAAACAGTGGAGCAATCAAGTTTTAGTCCTGGTCATTTAATACCCAGATATACTGATTATATTTAGAGATTCTTTGCATCTTGACATCCTGCAAGTTTTGTCAGTGAAATGGAAAAAAGAATGAAAGCTGAAAAAGTGTCCAGTCAACTTTTGATTGTTGATTGTTGATTGTGGTCACAATAAATTAAGCGCCAGGAAACGCGCTTAATTGACGAAGCATAGAAAGCAGCAAAATGGCAAGCCAAAAATAATAGTTCAATCTTTGCACCAGCCGTGAATCGAACACGGACCTCTTGCTTGGAAGGCAAGAATCCTAACCATTGGACCACTGGAGCCTCTTTGATTGTTTAAAGTATAAAAAAAATCTGCTCTTTCAGTTGTGTGGAATTTTATATTTTGGGTTGCAGTCCATATTTCGGTGGTTATCGATTGATTAATTCGAACCGCCTTCAACATGCGGGAGATTGTCTTGATTGAATCTAAAATCCTTAACAAAAAGTCTACTTGGATCTATCTGCTTAAAGCAGCTCGTGGACGTATAAGAAGTTCCTTAAGACTTAAGACATGGATACATAAACTTCAATATAACTAGTCTAGTTGGAAGAGTGTGGATATTCGCATCTCAACATTTATGCTCAATATTTTGTCAATCTATTGGAACAATGAACGAAGAGAGTGCCTAGTGAGAAAGTATTGTGAAGGTTGCGCAGCGCCATATTCGCCCGTGCCCTGGTTAAACTCGTTAAATGAAATAATACAACATTACACGGGGATGTATCGTTGCCAGCATGTATATTTTACAGCCGGCCTACATATGCATGTGTAGTATACAGTAAATGGCCAAATGCACGATCTTCAGCACAGATCAACTCAATGAAATCGCCAAACCCTGTTGGCCTCTATTCTGCCTCAAACTGTTACTTATGTCAATCACTTTCGTCTCGAACGCCCACCACCACCTCTCAAACACTATCTGTCCTATCTCCCACATGTCGATCTGAAACGGATCCGTACCACTCACCCGCATCCCCTCAGTGAGGTCCTCGATATCATATACCAGATTCATAAGTGCCATGGGGTGAGAAGCGGAAGCTGGCCGGAGATACTCCGGCATACTAAAGACCTGGATGAGCTTGTCGCGTGTGGTGGGCCAGGGGAAGAGATCCAGAATTGGATGATGGGGAATTAAGCGCTGCGTTGGGGTGGGTTGGAGATGGGCTGGTAAACTTTCTATACAGATCGGTAGCCGTGAGGAAGAAAGGGAGGAGGCTGTAGAAGAGGACTGCGGAGGGTCGGAATTTGTGCATTCAAAACCTGCAGGGCCTGTGTAGAATGGGCTGATGCTATTCATGGTCCAGATAAGCTCTTTGAGTTGCAGTCGATCGGCAATAGTGAGGACAGCACGGAGCAGGGACAGGGGTGGGATTTCGATGATGTGGTCATCCGGGAAGGTGAATGTCGTGGCCTGGTAGGATTGGAGTGTTGCTGAGAGGTCGTTTGGGGTGAAATCTTGCTCGTTGATAGGATTCTGGAGCAATTGATACGAGAGAGCTGATAGTTCGGGAAGGGCTAGCTCTGAAGAGAAGAGAGAATCGAATGATGACAGAGGTGATAGAGGCGTTATAGAAGAGGGTGAGGATGAGGATGGTGAGTTCTGCATCATGGATTCAAGTATAACATCTAGAATATCGGATTGGGTGAAAACGTCTGTCAAAGCACTCGGAGATCCATCGTTTGATTTCTCTAAGAGTGCTTCTTGAATTCGTGGTACTGTGCCCGAAGACGCGGGAGAGATGTTCCCTGTCTCACACTCTGGAGCTCCTAGTGGCAGCAGGATATCGAGACCTGACTGCTTCTCGGCAGCGCTGTCAGTTGGAGAAGGATCAACAACAACAACACCCGATTCACGAGTTTTTCGATGGCTCATTTGTATCTGAGCCTCCAAAGAAGCGAGATGCTCCCTTCTTCGTTTTCCTAGGCACTGGATTAGACCATGACTTCAATACCATTTAGATTTGTAAACCAAATTTTTTCTCACTGTAACGTCGCTGGGCAAGAACATTCAAAACACGTCTTCGCTCTGCAGCATCATCTGAAATATCAGGGATTGTTGGATCATGGACCATGCGGCGTTGCCTTTTGGAAGGCATTGTATTGCCTCCGGAGCTTTTAAGCTCTCCACTCCCGTCGAATTGCTGAGGAAAAGCTAAAGTGAGTTGTATGAAATGTTCGAATTTTGATGTTACCATTTGATTTCAATAGATCAGTAGAAAGAACTTCTACATTTCAAGTTTGGCGTTGACACAGGTATAGTTATATATGCTGGTGAAGTTGCAGGAATACGAGGGCTTAACTATCAACCATCGCTGAACATAACGTTATGTTCTTGGCGACTAACTAATCCAGAGGGATTGTTTTCAGACAGTTAGCGGAAGAGGCCTTTGGCTTTGTCAGTAACATCTAAGAGAAGCTTTTCTTTCTGACTAGAAGCTTGACCTATTGTTTTTGTGAGCATATTGGATAATTTAACAAGTGGGGATTAGCTAGGATGGAAAGCGGTGCATTTCATGATGTGATGCATTTAGTGATGGGTATCATCAGGCAGCGGGCTACGTGAAGTAATCTTTAAACATATTTAAATAAGATTATAGAGAAAAATATAATTTCTTATAAATAATTGCTGTAAAATTTTAAGGATTCTATATTCAAAGTCCAATAAGCTGCTAATGTATGAGTTTGCTTTCTGCTTATAAAGATCACGCTGATCAAGTTCTTAACTATTGGGTTTAACAGCTGCTAGTTCTATATAACGGTAAGGATCACGTGCAGGGCGATTGTTCGGGGTAACGGCACACTTCGCCTACGCCCCAAACACAAACTCAACCTCTTTCAAGGCTTTGTGGTCCAATAAGAGGATGAGACCAATTCGATTCTGAATATGGAGAATAGTTATGGCGCCTATCCGATATGGTCGTATCTTATGTTTGAATCGTCGGCCTTTCGCTCGTCACCCGTCTCGATCACTATCTTCCCTCCCCTCCCGGAGCTGGGCATACCCGCCTTTGGTCTCTGATGTTGCCAAAGACGAGATAACGAGGCTCGCGTCGAGTCCACGGCGTCCCTTGACTCTCACAGACCTTCTCAAGTAAGCAAGGATGATCTCTACTCCCCCGGTCTATTTGCAAATAGCGATTAGGGCTTGGGTAATTGACAATTCCTTCACAGACATGGCCGTCCCCCGCTTTCGGAGGAGGCCCTCCTCGCATCTGCGAATTTCACACTCTCTTTACTTCCCACCCGACTAGCCTACCGGATACAAGCTTTAAGGAATCTACCATTTATTGTAGTGTCAAACCCGCACATCTCTAAAATTTATAACAATTACATGCACTCACTTTCAACCCTGCTACCTTACCAACAACGTCAAATTACAACGATGGAAGAGGAAATACAATTTACGGAAGTAATGGCTGACCTTGTCCAAACTCATATAAATACCATTCCAGTATTGGCGCGGGGCTTTCTGGAATGTAAGAAATATATCAACACCGCGGAAGTGACCAAATTCCTCGAAGAACACTTGCGTGCCCGAATTGGAACTCGGCTGATCGCTCAACAGCATCTTGCGTTGCATATGGCTTCGCAACCCCCCGTTGATGGTGCTAAACAGGGTTGGACTACGCCGCCAAACTACATTGGAGTAATTGATACGGCTCTTCGTCCTGCTCAACTGATTCGAACATGCGAAGAATTTGTAGCTGAAATATGTGAGCTAAAATACGGCGTTCGGCCCTGCCTAGTGATCGATGGAGAACCGGAAGCTACTTTTGCGTACATACCCGTTCACATGGAATATATCATTACGGAGTTGTTAAAGAATGCTTTTCGGGCCGTTGTAGAATCTGGCAACGAGCGGGAGCCTGTGGAGATCACCATTGCTGCCGCCCCGGATATACCAAAAAGCCATGTACAGGAAGACACCGAAGAAAACAAAGAATTGTCTGATGCTGAAGTGGATTTCCGTATTGGTAAAGACATAGGGGGTTTGCCCAACAGAACTGAGCTGCTGGGGCATCTCTGTTCCTCGACCCAAAGCATCACCATCCGCATCCGCGATCGAGGAGGTGGAGTACGCCCTGACCTCCTTCCCCATATATGGTCGTACAATTTTACTACATATAAGGAGGACGATCTTCTTGGCGGTGACAATGGGAATATCGACGCTCTAAATGCTCTCTCTAGTAGCGGGACCAACACCAGTAGCATAGCCGGCCTAGGTTATGGACTACCCTTGAGCAGAGCCTATGCAGAATACTTCGGCGGTAGCATTGCAGTGCAGAGCATGTGGGGGTGGGGAACCGATGTTTATCTAACTCTACAGGGTGTGGGAAAGGTCGAATAAAGTAACTGATCTATTTATTCTATTCTAAAATTTTGGGAAAACCGAAATGTTCCCCTTCTAAGAAAATTTTAAAAGAAATTTGGGTGAATCCTCCCATTTGCTCGATCCGACAGGCGCTCAGGGATAAGGATGTCATATACACGCTTCGCCCATGCACAGCATATCAATCGTGTGTCCTTCGGATCAACAATTTCTTCCACGCCAAATGCATTCGCGGTCCTAACGGGGTTCATGAGGCGCAGATATTCCTCCTCGAGCTCCTTGTATCGTTCTGCTTTTTTGCCCACTTTTTCTGCCTCTCTCAACTCGTGGCGATGACCAACTTCAATTCCTCCATCCAAGGGCAGTGAACCCCACTGTCCGGATGGCCACGCGATTTGCATTGCGGGTTCTCGACATCCAACCATAATACCGCCAGCCACACCAAACACTCTCCTTGTAATAACACTAAAAATGGGGGTTGTTGTGGAAAAATAAGTCTTACCAAGCTCTACCCCCCATCGCATAGTTGCTGTCCTTTCTGCTACGGTGCCAATGGCATATCCAGCTAGAAAATATTATCAGTAAACAAACCATTTTCAGTTTTCTGGGAGAAAAACGTTTGGGGACGGTTTGGCCAATACTTACGGACATCAACAAATTGAAGGATTGGAAGGTTCATCACGTCACAAAGTTTCAATAATCGGGTTAGTTTCTGACTTCCTGCTGCATCTAATGCACCACTGTTGACTTCACAGTTCGAAGAGATGATTCCAACGGGTCGACCTCCCAGTCTAGCAAGACCAGTGATGGATGTCGTTCCCCATAGTGCTCCGATTTCAAACCAGGATCCTTGATCTATCACAGAAGTGATGATTGTTCGGGGATTATACATTCTTGTCTGCCGTCGTGGGATGATTGTTCGAAGGCCAATGTCTTGTCTGTCTTCTGGGTCATTACACGGAACCACAGGTGGTGACTCATTGCCTGAGTTAGGCAAGTATCCCAGAACAGTTCTAAGCTGCTCAAAGCATTCTTTTTCGTTTGCGGCAAGATTATCTATTGTACCGTTTGTACAATGCATCAATGGACCGCCTAAATCTTGGAAATCAAGATCTTCCTCAAAGGTGGCCCCTTCAACGACCTTTGGACCGGCATTGAAGAGAGCCCCTACATCTGCAGCCATGACTGAGAAATGGCAGGAAACTACTCTCGCTGCTCCTAGCCCAATCTAACGACAGAAACAACTCGGATAAGCAAACGCATGTATTGACATAAAACGAACCATAACAGAGCAAAAGGAACTGGAAACTCACCGCTGGCCCAAGGACCGCCCCCAGATTTGGCACCCCAGCATTAAGCTGCTCAACCATCGGACCAAACGAACGAACATGCGGCACATACGACCACCCCTCCTTCCGAATAGTCGTTACACTCCCACCCCCCGAACTCCCATCCACCAGCTTCACAATTGGCAATTTCATGGCAACTGCCATCTTCTCTACATACATTGTCTTCTCCGCCGTCGCGCCATCTGCATGTCCACCGCGGATACTGAAGTCATCCGCCGTGAAGACTATTGGTCGACCCCATAACTTCCCCATACCCTGCAAATTGTTGCTGGGTGTAAATGCCACAGGTGTCTCCGTCAGGGGACTGGTCTGCTTCCATGTCACTGTGCCGCTGACGGATCCTATTTCGCGAAAAGTTCCCGGGTCCAGGAGTAGATCGATACGCTCACGAACCCATAGTTTTCCTGCCTGCTTTTGTCGGATATAGCCTCTGTTTTTGACGTCGGGGGTTGCTGCTAAGGTACGGAGGGTGTCAAGTTGACCGAAAACGTCCGAGTAGTCCGCTGGGAGGGTTGTCTGTTTCTTCTTGGTTTTTTTGTTTTTTGTATTGCGATAGTTAGGCGGGTTTGGCGGGTTTGGCGATAGGTGCGATGAGAGCTGGGTAAGTCGATTTGTAGCCTGGTTCGCAGAGTTTGCGGGATCTGCTTCCTTGAGACTACCCTTTGAGGGATCGACTTTTGCCATGATTGTTTCTCCCTTTTGAATGAACTATTTTCTAGGGACTCAAATAGTTTCTCCTTCTAAAAGGGTGCTGCAGCTTATACGTCAAGTGTTCAGCCTGTAACTAACATCCGAGAATGTCAACTGTGAAGTATCCAGTGAGATGACTTGATACTATGGTGGCGTGCGATAACTAGCCGAAAGTTTGTGTTTGGATTGCCGAAGCAAGCTTGCAACGAAAATGGAACAGGGCCACCTCTGCTTCTTTCACCCAAAATCGCTGTATGCAGAGAATAACCCGAAATGATCCAATAGCAAGAACAATCCCTTGGGGCTTTGCAAAGCGAGAAGTAAAAGAAGATATAAGTACACTGTCAGTTATTATTATGCGATAACCTGTCAGAGGCAACGCTTTTGTTTCGCGCTGAACCTCGGCCTAAGTTCCTGGACTTTTCGGCAATGCATCCCCGCAAAATCATTCCCCTCCAAACGAATGCAGGGGGGTCGATGTGGTGTAAAAACAAGCAGTTTCGATACAGGGGATTTTATTCACTGTCTTTCTTGCGTGGAATTGAGTTTTTATATTTTTGTTTGTTGTGATGAAGGTGCAAAATTGAATCATTCATTTTATACCCCGAAGAGAAAACGAGAAGCTATTCTACAGATTGAAAAAGGCCTTAACAAAATACTATATACATTCCTGTTGATGAACATTAATGATCTCCTACGTTTACAACGATCTGAAATTCACTGCACGAGACTTCTTCAAACAAAGGCAACTATGCCTCCACCAGCACGACCTATAACGCGGCTGTTGGTTGCAAATAGGTACGAGAGAACCGGGAAATGAATGGGTTACACCATGGACAGCAAAGCGAAATAGAAAACTAACTTGGACTCGTCTCCCGACCATCCAGAGGAGAAATTGCAGTTCGAATTTTGCAGGCAGCCCGTGAATTGCCCAACATCGAAACTTTTGCACTGTATACAGAAGGCGACCGGTCACATTGTGACTTGGGATCGCCTCACCATGCCTTGACCTTACCGTCTCCGTCATCCTATATGGATATCCCCTTATTGGTACAGCTAGCACGAGAACATACCATCGACACGGTGCATCCTGGGTATGGTTTCCTGAGCGAAAGCGCAGAATTTGCGCAGCGCATGTGGGAAGAGGCTAGGGCCAAAGTCATTGGTCCCGGTTGGGAGGTCTTAGCGCAGACTGGAGACAAGCTTCAAGCCAAGGAGCTGGCTGAGGCTTGTGGTGTGCCAATTCTGAAGGCAATGAAAACTCCAACAAACGATATTGACTTGATAGGCCGATTTGCTGCTGAGGTTGGGTATCCTGTCATGGTAAAGGCTGTAGACGGTGGAGGTGGACGTGGAATTCGATTTGTGAAGGGCGCTGACGAGCTGCAGTCTGCAGTTGATCGGGCTGCCGGAGAGTCCCCGTCTACGAAGGTGTTCGTGGAAAAGGCTGCGGTGGGAAGTTTCCATCATGTTGAAGTTCAGGTTATTGGGGATGGAACAGGCGAGGTTAGGCATCTCTGGGAGAGAGATTGTAGTGTGCAAAGGAGGTTTCAGAAGATAGTGGAGTATTCGCCAGCGATGATGAAAGACAGAAAGCTAGTTAGCAAGGTCATTGAGTCGGCACTGAAAATAGCGAAAATGGTAAAGCGGTTATCAAATCTGGGCGGTTGCTGATGAAAAGGGCTAATGAGAAAACAGATTAAGTATTTGTCATTGGGAACTTTCGAGTTCTTGGTGAGCGAGACGTTATCGGAGTTCTTCTTTTTGGAGGTAAATCCCCGCCTCCAAGTCGAACATACAATCACAGAATGCATATCGTCAGTGGATCTTGTGCAAACACAGCTTTTGCTAGCTCAAGGAGTTCCTTTACAACAAATTGGACTGGGCGATATTCAAAACCCAGAGCAACCTCCAAATGCATATTCAATCCAGCTGAGATTATGTGCTGAGGATCCGAGTGCAAACTTTGCCCTGAGCATTGGAAAAATTACCGAATTTCATGTGCCAGGAGGCAATGGCGTCAGAGTGGACACTAATATCTCTGGCTTGTCCTCTGTCGTAATTGGCTCAGATTTTGACAACATGATGGCGAAGATAATAGTCACTTCCACCAGTTGGGCTGGTGTAATTCAAAAGGCGCGCAGAGTACTTGATGACACAAGGGTATCAGGGGTTAGGACTAACATCGATGTCTTGAAGGGCATTATCGCGAACTCCGAATTCCAGCAGTGGCAAATTGATACCCAATGGTTTGAAGCAAACCTGGAGACTATCATCCAGAACGGAAAACAACTTGCGGCATCTCAGTCGAGTCGCTCAGCGTTGCGTGCCTCTCCCGCCTCTCAACCACTATCACTTGGGTCTAATGCCCTCCGAAAGGGAGATGCTTGGTCTGTAAACCTGGAACCATTGAACTTGAGCGGGGGAGCCAATGCGGGACCGCCTCACCATCTTGTGCTGAGTAAACTGCTTCGCAACGAATTTCCGACATCCCTGAGTGCGGAAATCGAGTATACGACTCCGGCAACAGCGACGCAGCCCGCAACAACTACTCCATATCGAGTGACGTTGTCAAGCACATTGGCCTCGTCAAGTTCAATGTCGTCCACTCACAGACGGGGAGATCCGAACAATGCCTCCCACATAACAATCCCTATGAGTGGTAAATTGATTGAGATGCTTGTGGAAGAAGGGGACGAGATCCAGGAGAACACTGTGATCGCATTCATCAAGCAAATGAAAATGGAACTTGAGATTCGAAGTCCGAGGGCAGGGAGAGTTACTTGGGCCCTGGAGCTGGAAAATGAGGAGGGAGAAGATGTGCCTGAGGGAATTTTGCTGGCTGAGGTAGAGGCAATAGAAGGCCCTGCAGTTGAGATCAAGGGGAAACTATAGCTGTATATACACAGATATGTAAGATCATTATATTAACTTACGCTTAGATCCAAAGAGAGCAAAAGCATTAGCTCGTCTTCTGCAGCGTTCAAATTCAAGTTGCCCGTTTTTGATTTCCAACGAGCCACAACCAGCAACACAGTAACGCCTCAAAAACCAGTCTTTGATTCCCTTCCATGCTATCGAAAAGGGGGAAATGGTCGCTGCTTGTCTTCGTCGTAGAGAATTACCCAACTGCCCAGCGATAAGGGGATATCGGTCACGTGGACACAGAGTCGATTCGTCAATCAATAAACTACTTTTGAACCTTGCGAGAACATATGGAGTAGTTATATGTAACTATATCGCGGTCGTTCTTCAGCCGTCGGAGAATATCCACTGAGAGCAATAGCAATGCAAATATGAGTACGCGCGAAAGCCAACTAGTTACGCTCGGAGTTCCCATTCATATATGCGGGGCAAAAGTGCAGTTTTGCTGGCCAGTTTTGTCATTCCGACTGACAACTCACAGCTGCAGTAACGTAGCTCCCGCCTTGTTGACCTATGGCAAGCCGGATCAAAACAGGAGTTCCATGATGGATGACGAGCCCCGGACTGCAAGAAACCCACGATATTAAATGGGCCAGTTGATAAAAATCGAGTTTCTCCAGTCGCATTATGATGTCTTCTATTTCGAGAGGTTTGAGATGTGGTTTTTAACTTGTTGCTTAAGGAAATGCCACATTCTTCAGGAGGAATCGCGAGAGCCCAATGTTTCACACCACGCCGGCCTTTCGGGCACATTAAATAGTTACATCTAGCGCGTGACTTATCTGGCGGGGTAGTTGGTTGTGCATTCGTCATATTGTCTGGTTGGTCTTGAATGAGAGGCACACCCCGAAGGCATATGACGCCAGTGGAACCAATACATTTATTTGAATCTTGTCAGAGCCGCAGTCTGCAAAGTCAAATAATTCGGACTTTCTGGACAAGCCTACCATGTTTCAAGAGATATAGTTAGTTGATCAGAAACCGGGCCTGCATCACCTCATTTCTGATGCTGAAATCGTTCAAGTGGACATACATTTCCCGACTACCGAAATTTCAAATCTCGGCCCCACAACTCAATTGGGGATCAAGACTCTTATGCTCCTTTTTGGGGTAAGAAAACAAAGCCCAAGAGCCATGTCATCTACTACCAACACTTCTCTTTCCATTGCCACCACTGCGTCCGCCCCTACCACCCACACTCAAGAAACCACGGAGGCCAAAGTCGCATTTACCGCTTCCTTAACCTCTGTCGGAACGAATTTGGATGCCGACCTGCGTCAGCGCGCCCAAGCACTTCACAACAATGATGGCGTCATCAAAATGCAGGAGGAGAAACTGAGGAATACAATTCAGGACCTCGAGAAGCAGTCTAGGGAGCTAGAGAAGTTGGCTGATCAGGGTAGAGAGGGGTTGAAGGAAGTTGGCGATTTGCAGAATTGGGCGGAATTGATTGAGCAGGATTTACTAATTGTGGAGGAATCACTGCGTTTGGCGGATGAGGAGGACGAGAAAAATGGCAGGATGAAATGGAAGCCGGAGAGTAAGTTGAGGAGATGGTTTTGAGTGATTGGTTGGAGGTTCATGGAATGAAGTATGGGACGTGGTTTTCTGTATGCTTTCGTCATATCATCATTTATGGTTTGCTTTGCTTTGGGGAGGGTTGGTTGCAAACTTTGGGATTTTCATGTTAGGATCTGTGTTATTTTTCCTTCTTCTGAAACCATCAGGTTGCTGTGATCCTTTCTATACGATGATTTCCCATTATGTGTAATATAAATATTTTAAATTTTCACAAAATATAAGTTTCCAAAAAGAAAAGAAAAAGAAAAGAAAAGAAAAGAAAGAAAAAGAAATCTATCCAGTGCAGCATACACCAAAATGAAAAGAAAATAGTAAATCCCTGTGATTAGCCCTCTTCCAGATCGCGAAGGAACCGCTTCCAAACATCTAATCCGGCTGCTGTGCATCTACCACTATCGCCTGATGACAGATGTGCAGCAGCTGCTTCCCACTCATCCCACTCATTCCACTCCCCCAAACTCATCAGATGTCTCATCGTCGGACGTCCATGAGGGCAATTCCACGGCTTGTCAATCATCCCCATGTGCCTAACAACCTTGCCCATTTGTTTCGCAGTAAGGGATTTGCCAATCATAATGCTGGATCGACATGCTCTCATGGCAAACATTTTGCGAACTTTGCTTGGTCGAGGAACATATTTGCTGGTGAGTGGAGAAGATGATAGAGTAGAAAAAGACGAAGGAGACGGTGCAGATTGCGCTTGAGGTGATTCGCCAAGTAACACGATTAATTCTTCCAGATCACGTATGTTAAAGACCACTTCTTTGCTGAGGGGTAGGCTGGTGAGTTTACACCGGCGTCCGATAGGCTCGTCTCCGCTTCTGTCAACTTCGACGATGAAGCCGTTCTTTTCCAAGGCTGGGAGGTTGTCGATTATGATTTCCTCTTCGACAGCGGTGAGATCGAGGGTTTTGGGTTTGACAAGACGTTGATTTTGTACCACAGTTTCGGCCTGGAGGCGCTCGAAGTTGTATTTTTCATCGGAGGCGTGTTGGTCGATTATGAACAGCTCGTCGTCCTTATGATCTATGGTGGCTGTTGAGTTATCTGGGTCTCCCCGAAACCGAGTTGCAATAATGAAGCCTAGATTGAATTGACCGATTATGCGCATTGTGGCAAAGTCTTCCTTTGAGACAGACAGGGATAGCCGTGTTTCCGGAGACTCGGGATCACCTGTCCCCTCTGCAGTTTCTTCACCCTTGGCAGTGTTGCTTTGCTTGATACTCTGCAGCCCCTTTTGCAAGGACCTGATGTAAGCCTCGATCGTGGCCAATGAACCATCGACAGTCCCCATCAGGCCAACTGTAGAAGTTTGACCAATAGAACGTTTCGATATCTTGTTGACTCTACGGTTAACGTCTTCCGAAGGAAGAGCAGCTTTGTCTTCCGCTGCTTGTATCAACTCTGCAACCCTTGCTTCTGCCCTGGCCTTTTTCTCATCCTCGTCAACATAACTCGCGTCCGAGTCGGAGACTTCAGCCTCAGCATCTGGTTCAACATCTTCCGCTCCAATTTCATCTCCCATTTCCTCTGCAGACTCGCCCTTCGTTTCATGCTCAGAATTGGTTTCGTCCATCTCCTCCTCGTCATGGATCTTAGACATGTATTCGGCTTCCGAACCATCCTCTACCACATCTTGTTCATTCTCGCCGCTGAAAACTTCCTGGCTACCATCCACGTTGCTGCCTGGTGCCACAAATGACCACAAACCGTTTTCCAGGTTGCGTTTGCTAGCTGAAACGTGTATTCGACGTTTAGGTTGAGGCGTTGAACCTCCGAAACCTGCCATCCCAAGTTTTCGCTTAGGCTGCTGCTCCCTGCCTATCGTTGACATCACAGTTCTGTTTCCAATTGTGATAGTTGCAAGTTCAGCGGGCGGTCTACTAGGACGCATTCTATCGAAAGCATTTTTAATTACACTGTGTGTGTGCTGCGCGGGACAGTTTCGCACCGACTGAACAGGTTCCTCTCTTAAGAGAGCAGATGCAAGTGTAAAGCCCAGGTTAGTTTGCTCGTCTGCCTGTTCATCTGAAGGTGCTGTAGGAGGGGTGCTTAATGATGGTCTGGAGCCCTTAATTTCACGTGTTGGATATTGGGATGGCGCTATCTCTGTGGCTTCTAGAGTTGCTAAGTCTACTCGTTGAGCATCTTCATTGGTCGCTGAATGGTCTTCCGTTAGCTGACGCGATTCCATCCCATCCTCATTTTGCTGAGTCTCAGGAATCTCAGGCAACGTTTTCGAACGTTCAGTGAAACGTTGTACGAAGGTCCTCATAGCTCTTTGTTCCCCCTCCTCATCTCTCTCCTCATCTTCCCCCCCGTCCTGCTTATAGGATTGCTTGGCCCTATTTGATTCTGCAGGTTTTGTGGAAGCAAGGACAGAAGCGGTATCTTTCCCTGAAGGACGGTGCAACGTGGATTGCTTCCCGGGAATTAGAGACTGGGGCACCGTCTGGTCTTGGCGCTCGAACAATTCAGTCAAAGAAGTTTTTAAAGACTCTATTAGAGTACCCGCATCATGTAATAAAATGGTACGTTTATCCGGTGACACATTAACGTCGTAAGAGTTCGTATCCATTTTAAAATCTGCAAAGATGAAAGGTGACTGCGAGATGTTAAAGGATTTATAGACCTCATTAAATGCCTTTGCGATCTGAGGCAGACCACAAGGGCGAGAATTGACGAAAAACATCTGGCGATCTGGAGTTTGCCTGCCTTCCCCGAAGATCGGTTTCGAGATATGCCCTTGGATAAATATTTTGTTGGCCTCCTGGATACCACCCCGGATCGACTTCCCGTTCGTGGCACTTGGCTGAAACTCCAGCTCCAGATCCAGGGGGGTCAACGCGAGTAGAGACTTCGCTCCATATATGTTTGAAATATTCTCCTTCGTGGTAGCATTGGATTTAGTAGCAAATACCAAAACGTTTTTCCCCTTTGACATTTGATTTTTGACATTAAACCGGACCCCTGTGCTGACACATGCATAGGCGTGCAGCAAGCCAAGAACCTTGCCGTATTCCCTTTTGATGTTTTTCTCCAACTCCCGCCGACGCACTGGAAGCCTGTTAAAAAGGTTCTCGACAGATGCTGTCGTTCCTCTTTGACCTGCAACTACCTGTGTGTCCTTAAGCTTCCCAGAGATTTCAAATTCCAGCTTTGAAGCTTTGGGAGCTTGATGCGCCTGGGCGGTAACGATGTGGAAGTTCGACAGGGCACAGAGGGAGGATAGGGCTTCGCCACGAAAACCGAAGCTTTGAAGGGAGGATAAATCGTCTAACTTGGACAATTTGGAGGTATAGTGCTTCAAAGCTACCATGTCGGTTAGTATGAGAACTTAGTTAGAGGAGATCTCCAACGTGGGAGTCTTCATACCCACTGTCTCATAATCATCGGGTGATATTCCTTTTCCATTATCTTGCACTTCAATCAAGTCTAGCCCGTTGTTCTTAAACCGGATATCTATATAACAGCACAAACAGTCAGAGGATTCGTTAGTAGTAGCCTTGAAGATAAAACGCGTCAAAGTACCTATAGATGTTGCACCAGCATCTAGGCTGTTCTCCACCAGTTCTTTAACCACGGAGCATAGGTCAATGATAACCTGACCGGATTGGATTTGGTGAACCTATTATCAGTTAGCCTCTGCGCATCAGCTTCCGAGTTTCAAAAGAAGGATTCTATACCGAGCGGGCCTCAATGGCCTTGATGGTAGCCATGTTCATCCCATGGGGGTTGGTTAGTAGAAATTCTTTTGTTGCTGACGCGATTAGGCACGTGGAGTTAGAAAGCGAATAACTAAGGACAAACTGCCGGCTGACGTCATCGGCCATTTTTAAACTATTAACTAACTAGTTAGTCATTTTCATGGTGGTTACGTTACTACTAATTAACAAGCCACAGGTAGCCAAAGGCAATCCCTTTTAGATAATATGGAATTTACCGGAAACCCGTAAAGAGTAGTATATGTACTATTCCATGAGTGCAAACTATATATACTAATTAATGCCTTCTATTCCAAATTCGATAATACAGGCGTCAACGCGATGAACAACAACGGATATATGAGTACTGAGTCACCAAAGGAGGACTTAACGCTGCTTATGAAATGTCAAAACGATCAGGTAGCAAAACTGGAGCAATCAGAGTCCACAAGTAAATCGCATAGCACACCATAGCACTGATTATTTTCACCCAACTAGCCCAATATGTCCTGCCAACGGGGGCAAGATTATCCTTCGCTTCGGGGTCCAGATTTTGCGTGAGCAAAGTTGCGACCCACGCGGTTGCCAGGAAAAAGATAACATGAAACAGAGAATAGTTATACTGGGTTGAATGGCGCTCGTCGTCCTTGCTGCCCCGGCCGTCTTCTGACTCATCATCGCTTTCATCGAGGGCGCTTGCCGGTAAGCTACCACTCTCAACAGCAGCGCGGAGAGCCTCAGCACGCATTTCCCTGCGACTGAGTCCAGGCTGTTGGGTTACAAGTCCATGTTCCATCTCATCTTGGCCGAGGCGAGAGTAGTTATGGGCTCCTTTCGACCCCAGAGCGATGCCTTGAGTGGCGGCACGAGTGGTGGTATAGGCGATGGTCAACATAGTAACTACAGCGCCAATCACGATGGTGGCCGATCGGGTGCCACGAGCACGAATGAGGGGATTGCACTGGCGATCATCCGGCTCCATTGACACGGCGGACATTATCAAATACGTGCAGTAGGCTGTGACCATGGCAGCCTGCGCCAATCCGGCTCGAGGATTTGACGCCTGAACTGCAGGTTGAACCGACACCACGGAAATAATCAGGAAGACGATGAGGTTGATCTAAAATCCGAATTAGTATATCCTGCTTGATTTGGTGAAAAGAATATAGTAAAAAAAAAAAAAAAAACTCACAGTGATCGCAGCTTGGTTCATGGTGCATCCGGAGTGGGAGAAAAAGATGTACATGATGACGGTCATTGCGATGGACGCAATATACATTCCCAGGGTTGAACCAATCAGCAAGACCCGCCACGTCCGCGAATCTAGCTCCTCAATCTTTTGCAAGCAGATCTCAGCCCACGTATGGGCTAGATCGACCAGCAGGACAAGGCCCAGAAGCAGGAAGAGTATTGCTCCAATGAAAGAAATGTAGCTGCCCCAGACGAAAAAGAATCCCTCCGGGATCAGAAACGACAGCGCTATCAAAGCCAGCCATGCGATAACCTTCGGACCCCAGAAGCCATTTTGAAGAGACGCTCTGCTGCCTTTGGAAGAATGGACTCCAAGCAGGAGGATTGCCATAACGATATGAAACAGCCCAAGTGCAAAATTGATTCGATGAACCGCAACCCATCCATAACATTTTTCTCCTTCGCAGCTGATCGGCAAAAAGTCGAAAGTGAGGTGCTCCAATTTGCTCAGAGCCCATCGCGTCAACATTATCCAGGACAGTATCGAATTAATCAAAAGCATGAAAGCGTAGGCGATTCTCGTGGCCATACTATTCCAAAGTCAGCGGGAAACCCCCAGACCAAAACAGATTCAGAAGCGTACCTGCTCTGAAACTTCCCGCAGGCACCACATATCGCTGAACATGTCGCTGCCCCACAACACGATGCGCAGAATGTTAACAACTAAATTGCAGAGGTTGTTAGAGACTGAAGTAGGCACCAAGGGAATCGTAGGAACTCACAGTGCCAACGCTGGGCACTGCCATTAAAGGCAGCGACAAAAGCGCGCCCATCTCGTCGTCACAAACCGATAATAAGAGACAATACCAGCAGTGTATATATGTCTTGTGCGTCAGAAACACTGGGAAGAGGACGTGGTGAATCTTCGAAGGTCTTTGAAGGCTGAGCGAAGAGAGCACGCACTGGATGGGGATGATGATGTAAGAATTGGGGGGCGCTGCTAGGGTAACGAACTGGCTAGTCAGGTGACGCCAATCGTACTAAAATCCAGTGTGAGAATTTGTTCAGGAACTCTAACGTTGGGTATTGGTTGCCTGAGGAGCCACCCCACCGCACGTGATATGCGTATGTTCGTTACTGTGGGATGGTTGAACCTTCTGTTCGGAGGAGCTAGCTAGGTTATTGCTATATTACATACAAGCGATCACGTGTGGGCGGGGCGGTCGCTAGGGCAACGCCACCCAGGCGGGCGACCCTACAGTTACATCCAACAGGTTAGGTAACCACGTGACCCAACCCACCCTAAGTTCCTGGCTGCCAGCTCCAATCGTTCTACTGTTAGTTACTTGGACTGAGAACGAGGGTAATTCCAGACGGGTCACCTGACATTCCCAGCCTGCTAAACAACCCAACATTTAATATTAACTATTACTTGTAGCTAGTAGGAATAACAATATATTATAATATACCACACAACAAAAAAAAACTATGAAAACATCTTAATCAATCTTGATCACATCCCTATAAGCTCTCTCTCATCCCCTCAGGCAGCAAGTCTGATGGTGTGCTGATGCAGCACCACCAGCGCACCTGGCCTCTCAATAACACTGAATGTGTCCTAAGCCTTGATGCACATCTGCTCCCCCATACACTGACCACTTAAGAGACCTCATTTCTCCACCCCAATTGCCCACTGCATATGTAAACTGAATGACATGGAGTCTTCAAGCTCCCTTACACCAGTAGGCAGCTCAAAGAGCATAAATATTGCATCAATATGTCTTAATCTACATGGTCTGATGACTAGTAATTTTCTAGCTGCTTATGAGACTGAGATATAGAAATTCCATGCAGAAGCACTAGCTGCTGCAAATATGCTTGATCAAATTGAAGAAGACTTAGATGACATAAAGGCAAAAGACCTATCAAAAGCACTAGTTCTTAAAGCCTTCATGAAGATGTTAGTCAAGAACTAATACAATGAAAGTCTAAAAACAGCTAAGCAGTTCATCACAATCAAGTCTACTAACTTCACTGATGCAAATGATGCAAGAGCTTCTATCTATGCAAAAACAGCTGCAGACAGCACTAATGTAGTAAAAATATCAACAATCATATTGCAGAAATCTTTGCTTAGAAATAATCTCAAAGAAGAAAAAATATTATGAATTTTCATATGTTTGTTTTTAAATCATCTAGGTTGCAAAGCAAGCTTAATCACTACTTTTAAAAAGCTGAAGACTGAACTTCTAAGATCTTTGACAGCAGTCATCACAGCAGTTCAAGTCATCTTCACTGACATTATCATCATCTCTAAAAGCTTACAAGACATAAAGACTCTGCTAGTTAAAAAGAATGTTGTAGCAGTCACTCTCATCAATGCTCAGATAGAAAAAAAAAATATTGAATCATCTGTTTGATTTCTAGACTGCTCATGAAAATTAGTGACTATAATAATGAAACTCTGCATCTCTCAACAGAATTTATGATAGAAGAATTCACACTTCAAATCAGAATTAAGTCTGTTCAGAGTCACTGAGTAAAAATACACTCTGAAAACTCAACAGTCACTTTTATATTACACTTTTCACAAGAGACAGCAGCAAATCTGTCATCAAAAGTGAAACTATATGAATATCAAAGACTAGTGATCAAAAAGGCATCTAAGATCAAAATACAACAATGTAGCAGATGCTGAGAATTTTATCAAAAAAGATACTGTCTTTGTATTCCTCACTGCAAAAAATACAGTTCTAAGAATCATATAAAAGAAAATTCATTCTGTTATAAGAAGAATGAAGTATGTGAATGTCTCAATCACTGCACTAATTATCTTGAATCACATGTCACAGATGATTCATCCTGCTCTATCAGACCAGAGATAAAGAATGAGATTATTTAAAGACAATCAAGAAATTAGCTAAGAGATATCTGCAATATACAGAGTAAAATATATTTAATTAAAACAAGTAACAGCAAAAGTGATGATTGAGATTCATCAGCAGATCTGAGATTGAATGACTCTACTGAGTGTAAATCTAATCTTATGCTGACATCAAACACAGCATCAAGCACAGCATTCAGCACAACATCAGATATAGCATTAGACATGACACTCAACTCAACATCTAATACAATATTCAATGCAATATCTCATGCAACAACACTCTTCTTTCAGCTACTCAATGAAGAAGAACTTTAGATCTATGTGATTTCTATAGATTATATAAGTCAATATAGAAAAAAAGAGCTCAGCATATGAGACAGCTCTCAATCTAATATTTGAAAGAAATACTGACATTCTTCTCATACAAAAACTCTGAATTCACAGAAATTTAAGCTGATACATCTCTAAAAAGTACTCAGCATTCAACTACTTTACCTCAATTAAAAAGTGAAACAGAAAGTCACAGATTCTCATTTATATGTGTAAACACTCATAAATTCATGCTCATGCAGTCCCTGGTCTCTGAGCAGAAAACCAGAACATTTATATGCTACATATACAGATCTGAAGTCTACAGCTTCAGATGATCAACATATATAATACATCTTCAGATGCAGAGAATTCTAGACAAGATGTCAGCTGTTTTCTCTTCTAGTTCATTTTAGCACTTTCTTTGCTTCTTGCTGATGACCTTAATATCAAGCACTTTATGTGGCAACCAGAAGTGTCTTTAAGCATGTAGGCAGAATCATTCCTGCAATGAATTATGAACTTCAACTTTACTCTTACCATGAACTCAGACATCCTCACATGTGGGTATAACATGCTAGACCTGGCCTGGACCACCTCAGAATTAGTTATCAAAGAATTGAACACACAGGTGGACAGATTTCTTTACACTTTCACTGATTATCAGACTCTTTTTATCAGAATCAGCCTTTCACAGAGTGCAAGGTCTGACAAATCATCCCATCTTTTTTGTCTTGGCATTATGGATGAGAAGGTCTTTAACCAGATGCTGAAGGTCTATAAGTCAAAACTACACAAACTATGTGATATTTCAGAGTACTTTAATATAGATCAGCTGAATGCTCTGACTCAAAATATTACAAATATGCTAGTAACTTCCCTGAAAAGCCTTATCAAGAAGAGCACTGGGCAAGACACAGATCAGTCATGATGAAATGAGAACTGTCAGAAAGCAGTGACAACACTACATCAAGCACAGCATCTAGACTCTAGATTTTTATATAAAGCAAAAGACAATGTAGTTAGAATTATCAGAAAGTCAAAAAAAAATACTGATAAGACAAAATAGCAGAGGTTTAAGCAGGGAAAGATATTTTTAAGATGATCAAATAAGCTCATTCAACTAACTTCTTTCATTCTCTTTCTCTCATAGATGAAGAGATTGAGCTAGTGTGAACAATCTCTAGAGAGAAAAGAGATCTTCTACAACAAATGCTCTTACAGAAGGCTGCAAGCATAGATGAAGAGACTGAGCTAGTGTGAATAATCTCTAGAGAAAAAAGAGATCTTCTGCAATAGATGCTCTTACAGAAGGCTGTAAGCAAAGAGAATATCTTAGTTAGCTGATTCAATTTATCATCTGTCAAATTATCATTTTCTGTTGTCTCAGCACATGAAATACAAAACTCTCTGCTGAACACAGATAATATTACTTCAGAAATCAATGAAGTGCCAATAAAAATGCTATGAAAGACATGGTCATATATTAAGATATCAGTGAAAAGACTGTTCAGAGTCTGTCTTAGAGTTAGCTGGCACTCAATCTTCTTTTAAGAAGTTACACTGATTGTGCTGTCTAAGATCAACAGAAATTCAACACTTCTGCAATTCTACAGACTCATAGTCTTTCTCTCAATGTTGAGGAAGAAACTGAAATATCTGATAGCTCATAGACCGGTCTGAACAGCTATACAAGAGAAGATTGTCCATCTTTAGCACTTTGAAGCCCTCCCTAAGCAGGCTGTCTTAGATCTAGTGATAGTAATGATTTATGATATAGAGGAAGTCTGAGCTTATAGAAAAGTAATCTGTCTTCTTACTCTGAATATCAAAAGTGCTTTTGATGCTATACTTAGAGGAAGAATGCTGCAGAGATTGCAAGAACAAGATTGATCATCAAATTTAATTAGATGAGTGAAAAACTTTATGACAGAACACATAGACAGAATCAGAATGAATGAACTTCTGAAAGAGCTCTTTGATATCTCAGCAGAACTTTCATAAGACTCATCAGTCTCATCTATTTTATTCATGCTATTTATTCAACCTCTGTTCTTTCTAGAAACTATACAAAGAAAATATACACACTCAGACTATGCAGATGATCTAGAACTACTTAATGCTGAAATCACTCTTGAAGAGAATATTGTTACTCTTCAGAAGAATTTCAAGTTACTAAATGATTAAATCAGTAAAGAAGAACTAATATTTGATTTTATCAAAACTGAGATAGTATACTTCATATGATGCAGAATTCTTTCAAATCTCTTAATTGATTTTGAAATAATATCTGATATTCACTTTATTACAGCAAATGCAATGAAAAGCTTCATAAGATATCTAGAAATCTGATTAGATAGAAAACTGAACTTCAAGAAACATGTGAAAATCATGATAGCTAAGGTACAACAGATGTTTAATGATATATGAGCACTAAGCAACACAGCAAGAGGCATCTCAGTACAACTACTTAGACAATTCATTCAGATCTGTGTGCTCTCTATGCTCTGCTATGAAGCAGAGGTCTGATGATCTGAAGTCACATGAATAAAGAAGAGAAAAAAATCTTCAATCAAATGAATTGTCTAGTCAAAAAGCTAGATCTAGCTCTTAGAGATATCTTGTGAGAGGCACTAT